ATTTGGAGTGCTCCTATGGCTAGAAGTGGTCGTTGTATCTTGGGAGATGATTGCCGATAAATCGTTAGCACCAATGCGGGACAAATTCATCTTAAGGATAAAGTGTCAAACACCTGCCTCGACCGATCGCATCACTTGCATCTCATCTTTCTTTTCCGATTTCATTCTAATTTAGTATTTTGATTCCGGAAAATAACTAATATTCTTTTGATTCCATGTAAGGTTTGAATTAAAGAATGACACTCGCTCAAGATTAGAAAGTGATGAATCCATATTCATATATTGGAAGTCGGTAATCACAATTTTGTCTTCTCAAATCAGATTTCAGTAAATCGAATAATATTTCTATTTCACGGTATATTCTTGATTAATATAATATGCACATTATCGGTGTAATATCTCCTACAATGTTGACCCTTTTACTTCTTTACCTTCAGACCCCTGAACCTGCGTGGATCAATCCGACCAGAGCTCGAAGCCCCAGACTCGGTTCCCCAAATCCACCTGTGACTTCACCCACCGCTCCTACACCTCCCTTGAAAAGCGAAACCCCTGTATCTGGTCCACAAATTCCTTGGTCCGTGCCGTGTCCTCCTATACATCCCTCTTCAAGGCACTCCAGGTTCAAAGCCACATTTCAAATCTTTCCTGAGTTTTAATTGTGTCTGCTTGGCCGGGCTGGGCTGTCATAGCGCTGAATGATATGGGTGCGAGTGATGTAACGGGTGAGGAGTTAGTGGATTCTCTGCCACTAATGAGCCGTGCGGGTCCGCAGAATCTGCCATTTTTTATGGGAGTTTTGATTTTGGGTTCAGCGGGTACTTGGATCGGGCATTGTTTCCGGATCGGTACGTGGGGGAGATGGAGAGGACAGTGAGGAGTGGGAGTGTTTGCATAATGGTTGTGGAAGAGTGTGAGGCACGGGAGGCGGGTGAAGTGGTGAATTTGTTTAAGAGGTCGAAGTTTGTTGATGTTGTTGGAAAATATGGCTTAATGAGTCACTTTTAGCATAATTTTAAGTGGGACTCATTGGATCAATTTGAAAGATCAAATCAAATTTGATTCGAATTTTTTTTCGCGAGAACATTGAAATCATATACTAACTTGGTCAAAAATGATGCTTGGATAAATGAAAAGTTGAAGCTCAGAGTTGATGCATTAGAAGATGATTATGTGATGAAGGGAAAGATACTTGTAGTTTGACCCATGTAGAAAAATGATTAAAGTATTGAACACTTTATATATGATTACACTTTAGAAATGTGTAATCATGTGTAGCATAGAAACTCTCTTCACGTGCGCATGTAGGGGCAGAAATTAAGGACCGAAGGACTGAATCAGAACTTCGAACTTGTGAGTGGGCGTGATCTGCATACACGAATGTTGAACCGAATGGAGTAAAAATTGGCTCATTAGAAGTGTCCACGTTTTAATTTTATTTCCTATAAATTGTTTATTTTTTCCTTCCAACTGACTCTTCAACTCTTAGTGGGTTAAGTTGATATTAATTGTATAAAATAACTCTTGTAAAGTCACTTATGTTGGAGCCATTATCACTTATGCTGGAGCCTATTTATTGAGCCGATTTTGCCAATGTTAGATGCCCACGAATTCCTTCTCTTTCTTGTCTACATACATTTTCTAGTATTCTGTCTGCAAATGATTTTACTTCCTATCGAAGTCTTGGTGGTCGTGGTCATGTATAATTCAGTTCACTGAAATAGTATCTACAGTGTTCAAATTTTACTTGTTTTTGGTTATATCTTGAAAAACAGGCATTCAAACTAAATCTCAAACACTTATGGTGAGGGGGACGAATATGTTTTAAGGACACTGTGTAATACACAGGCCTCGATTTGTACAATTCCATCTTTTTAACAATTGAGAATTGAGGAATGAAATTTAAGTGCAAATAAGAGGAAATTTCTTCTCGATGTAAATTAGGCCATTCCCCCTTAAGAAGTGTGATCAAGTTTTACTCTTCCTTCTTGCATGAATTTCGAACCATCAAACATTATCATCAAATTAGGTAAGGTTGACGAGAGTTTGCACGCCATTTAGATTATTCTTTCTTCATTTTGCTCATATGTTAAAGCATTTCAACATTCTCATCGAACCAGCAAAGTTGACAAAAATCACAAGTTTGTTAAAATGCTCTAGTTAACTTTGCCTAAACAACATTTTAATAAAAAAAAAATTGGGGGAGATTTTCTTTTTTGTAAAAGGGGGAAAAGTCTAGTTATAAAAATTACCCTACAGTTTATCAGTTATGTTGAAACATGTACACTGCACATGCCCAAGGTGTTCTGCATAATCCAAGTTTTCATTTGAACCAAAAAAAAAAAACAGTGTTCAAATTTTACTTGTTTTTTG